AATCGTTAATTATTTTTTTCATTATTAATTAAAAATTATGCTATTATGATAATATTTTTCAACATAAAATGAAACTTTCAAGCTTCCAACTGAAGAACAATAAATATTCAATGATTAATTCACTAATTCATTAATCCCTCAAAGTAAATTCCCAAATGAAATTATTCCGTCGCTCAATCTAACAAATATAAAACATACATTTCTTTGCATTTTATTTCATAAATTCGAGTCCTTACACTAATAAATAACTTCGGAAATTTTTCAGTCCATTTGCTGTAAATTGAATTTAAAGTTGTAATTTCTAATTTTATCTTTAGATTCTCCTAATATTAAGAAATAAAAAAGCTTGAGGAAGTACTGTATATGCCGACAAAAAATTTCATCATTTTCGAAATCAATTTCAATTCGAAATAATTTAGAGTATTACAATTATGCAAATTATGTATTATTGCTATTTGGGAAATAGTAAAGAGAATATATGAAACTAATCGGTCATACAATGCATAAAAATATTTGGTTCCGGAAATAATTTGTTAAATAAATATACTAAATTGATTAATAAATATGTTTTAATGAACGATTTGATTCAAACGTTAGTTTATTAAGTGAGTACAAAAGTATATGTAAAACATGAAATTTGATTTGAAACGATAATGTCACTGATTATTTTGATTGAAATTTCTGATTAATGTGTAACAGCACGGAATAATCAATTCTGTCATTTATGTACTTCTCTACATATGCATATTTTCTCTTTAAAAATCTTTACAAAAAAATGAATAATATATGGTTTGACTATTAAACAGAAATTCGATGAACGGTTGTGCAATAATTACACTGTTGACAAATATTGGCACCATAGCTTTTGCAAGACATGATCTACCGATGGATTTCGATGATATGGTGGTTTATGCTAGACCTGGTATTACGTATATTTGCTAAAGAAATCAAATTGAAATTTTACATCGCTCGAGGAACATTCCAATCAAACATTTAGTTCTATTCCACGTTGTTCCGAAATTAATATTCTACCTAAATTAATGAAGGACTACGTGATAATTCGTATCGAACTCATATAAGTTGTCACTAAATTTTTGAATGATTATATTTTTTACAATAGAGCTATAAAACCAAATTTTGTATTTTCGATTTTCAAATAAAAGGGAAATTTGAAACAATTCCTTCTTTGCCCAAATAAAATTTATTCAACGAATTCTCACACAAAATTTCCTTTTTTAAATTAATTTTTACTTTGGAAGAAATTCTCATTTTATTTATTTCGTAGATACTATTTACATTGTTTAAAATTATTTTTCTGCAATTNTTGCCCAAATAAAATTTATTCAACGAATTCTCACACAAAATTTCCTTTTTTAAATTAATTTTTACTTTGGAAGAAATTCTCATTTTATTTATTTCGTAGATACTATTTACATTGTTTAAAATTATTTTTCTGCAATTTTTTGATTTATTTCGATAATATCATCGATTATATCTTTTACCAGCTTAATCACTCCATTTGTTACTATTTTTATTAATTAGTAATTAAGCAAAATTAATTAAAAAATGAACTAACCTTGAATTAACACAAAGAAAAAAGTTAAAATCGCAGGAATTGAATAGTAAATTAGCATAATGTTTAAAAAACTAATATGAAATGAAACGATTTAACTTATAAATAATAAAATAATTTATGAAAATATTTTTCCTTTTATTTCTTTACGATAAAAATAATATTAGCTTTTTGGAATGGAAAATATTTATTAGTTTGATTTCTTCAAATGGTATGAGATTTAAGATTTTGATCGAAATTTTGAATCTAGCAATTATAGCATTTTCAGTTTAAGATTCCGAGATTAATACTATCAATATTAACAATAATAACAGTAATAAGAATAGAAAGGATATCGATTATTGATATATACGATGGATTGCAGCAGTTGATATAATAAATGGTATGATATTTCAATTTTCCGATATGGAGAAATGAAGCGGCTTCACTTCTTCGCCTTCTACAAATTGTGCGGTACCTTTAATAATGTTTGTTTCCTATCAATCAACAGGTGGAGTACTTCTAATGGTAAGAGGAGTTGCCTACTTGTTTCCAACAAAGCAAAATCTTTTTTTGTCAAAACAATAATTTATGGAATAGTNAAATTGTGCGGTACCTTTAATAATGTTTGTTTCCTATCAATCAACAGGTGGAGTACTTCTAATGGTAAGAGGAGTTGCCTACTTGTTTCCAACAAAGCAAAATCTTTTTTTGTCAAAACAATAATTTATGGAATAGTTTTATTCTTTTCATATCTTTGTCAGATAGATTTTTGTTTTTTGCAAATATTCCTTTTTTGTTTTATTTTTGGTAAATGAAGTAGAAAAACAATTTTTGATATTTGAAATTTTTTAGCATTGCTAACATTTTTAATCATTCTAATAATTTCATGCTTACATTTTTGTTTGATTAATTAATTAATTAATATAAGCAATACTATTAATAAATTAAATTTACTACTACATTAGCAGCATTATTAACAACATTTTAGAACATGAGGCTTTAATTTCGTTGCAATTGATTAATGCGAAATTTGGCCATAATTTTTTCAATAATCAAACAATGATTTTAAATTGAAATAGTTAAAGTATGTTAATTAGCGTTTAAATTATTAATAAAATAAAACTATTTGGATATAAGAATAAAAGCAAAAGTACTTCAATAATAAAATTATTATTAGAATGAAATTTTTAGTTACAAATCCTTAGCTAAATCAATTTGTCGTAATATTCCTTATCGATTTTTATTTTCATTGACCCTTTTTTTAATCTTTTAACTATTGTTATAATTTAATGAAATCATATTAATTAATGAATAAATGCGCAAATGCGTTCCTATCCGAATTATTAGGAAGCGTAAAAATGATTGCGACAAATGAATACGAAATTACTTCATTAATGAGTATAATTAAAAGAGAGATGTAACATATCCCATATTCATAATTACAACATTTTGCAACACTATCGGCATTAATTATTCAATTGTTTTTACGATATGTAATTTATCAGTGATGGAAATAAAAAATTGAATAAAAATTCGATCCAAATACTCTTTTTTTTATTTTTCATTTTATTATAGATAGACATTTTTCGTCATTTACAATTTCCAATTTCCTATGATGTAATTTTCTTTATTGCAAATTAATAGAAGTTAAGTTTACAACCAGTTAGGGAATGAATTGCAAATATGTATGTTTGATATAAGTAAAGTATTATGAGAAGTACAGGTGGACATGAAAATAACTATTTGAATATTTTTTGGAAGAATTTTTTCAACAACTTTTTTTATTATAAATTTCATTTCTACAATCATCGTATAAATAATAATATGCCAACATTGTCAATTAAATGTACCAAGGTAAGGGAGAAAATGACAGGTTTTTGAAAATGTGAAGAGTGATAGTTGAATTAAATTAAATCACTTTTAACTCACTTATCGTTTTCTTTTGATAAAATTGATTAGCTAAGGAATGAGAAGAAGGATAAAGGAAGAAAAACCAATCTCGTTTTTTTTGTACTTCTGAAATTTAGAATTTTGTTATTTACATATTTATCGTTCTATTCATTTCTTTGAAAAATTTTGTTTGAACTATTTTTGCAAGAGATATTATACGCTTCAGTCTACTAATATTAAATGTCATTAAAGAAATAAGTTATAAAAGATTTTAGGTTTTCATATGATCGCTTAAATCTTCATATCATTGTTCAGGCATAATAACCAGTGCCGCAACAATTGCAATACAGTGATCAACCAAAATTATCCAAGCATCATCCGAAGCAACTTTTCCGGATTTAGACAACATATATATATAAATATATATAAAATATATATGTCATTTCAGATTCCAACACCACACCACGGAATCAATGAAATTACAGCAATAAATCATCCAATCTTAACAAATAGTTTACCAAAGCCATAACTAAAATTTCCTGTGGTGTTGAATTTGAAGCAAAATGTTTGCAATAGTTTGAATATAAATGATGATTATTTCATTATTAAATGCTAACAAATTCATCGGTACTTGATATTTGTAAACTTTTCAGTTAAGAGGACATTTATTCATATCGTAGTAATAGCAAAAAATATCGGTGAGGCTATGGTCCACTGATTTTCCTTCCATTATTTATAAACAATACCCTTCGAACAATGGAGCTACCTGAAAATAACGTTAATATCATTGACATTTTTATTTCATTGATGCTTTGTCTTAGTATTTATATAATTTACAAAATCTGCAAAATTTCCTTCTGCAATTTGCAACTTTTTTAATTGAAGTGTAATAATTGTTAACTTCCATCTTATCCTAAATTTTTTTCGTTTTTAAATTACAAATGAAAAATTTAATACACAAAAGATGTAAATAATATTCAAAGTTTTGACTAATTCAAATTAATATAGTTTATCTGAGACCATTTGCTAATTGGATTAAATTTCAAAAATATTCAGAATCATTCAAAAAGTTTTAAACTAATCAGAATCGTTCAGTCACATTTAATTAACTGATGTTAGCTTCTTGAATGATACATTATATAATTCAAGTTATTGAAATCATTGTTATTTCATTCTTCAAAAAAGAAGAATGAAAATCTCGAATTCTTTACCCTTTACTAAATTAATCAATAATTTATTTCATACAATGCGCAAGCAAAGATTGCATTACCATAGTAACCATATTGATGATTTTAATCTTTAAAAATATAAATAAATTGATTAATTTGTTTTAAACTTAGCATTATCACTTATAATAGTGAAGAATAAATTATTGATTAATTTAGTAAACGGGTAAAGATTTCGAGATTTCTGTAGATTTGCTACAAAATATAGAAACAAGTTTTATATTTAGGTATTTTGTTTACTAAATATTGTTTTTCTTTATTGTGTTAAGACAAGCAAACATAGTACATTGCTTAATGATATTATTTCAAAAAATTTTTTAAAATTTAGTATGGAAAAAAACGCAAATACTACGAAATGGGTATCGGCTCTAAATTCTACATCTGTTGGCCTTAATACCCTTCCAAGTTGTGTATGCTTAGCAGATCTTTATGGTGATGGTGATTATAAATTGGTAATTGGCGATTTTGGTACCGAAAAATATGATATCCGATTGAAAGTATTCCGAGGCTTACAATTGATTGGTGAAAATGTTCTCAGCGATTTACCATCGGCCATAGTATCATTTAATAATGAAAATGTAAGTAAACATCATTTTTCATCCATGAATGTCTGGAACTTTTAAAATTAGAATTAACAACTCTATTACATTTATTAGAATATATTCTCATGCATTTTATATTGTCATAATTAATCATTACAGATAGAGCCTAATTTATCATCTCTAGCAATAACCTGTGGTTCATCAATTCTAATTTATAAAAATTTAAAACCGTTTTACAAATTCACACCACCATCATTGGAAATAAACGAAGATGAAGCAGAAGCTTGGCGACATGTTGAAGCTGGTCATATTAATACATCACAACTTCATGCAGTACTTGTAAAACTACTCCATAAGGTTTAAATTTTGTTATTCCCTTTAAACGAAAAAAAGAAAAATTTTTTGAAACCTAATTATTAATTTTTATTGTATTTCGATCAAATTGTAAAGTTTTCAATAAGCAATTATTTTCATATTTTTTATTGCTATTAATTATAAATATTTGAAATCACTGATAATAGCAAATGATAAGTTAATTTTATTGCAGCTTGGTAGCATGGAGTTGACAACTCGTTCGCAAGCATTCTTAAGCAGCAAAGAAAACGATCGAGATCGTATACTTCACCAATGCTTGAATAGCAAATTAGTTCATCAAAGCACCATAAATTGTATGACAACAATGAAACGATCCTCCGCTGAACTAAGCGCCATCGATTGTATTATTTGCGCCACTGAATATGGAATTGTTTATTGTATCGACACACAAGCATTTACCATTTTAATGAAATGTAAAATACCGGGAATTCCCGTATTTTTATATGCTGCAGGTTAATATTAATATGTAAAAATATATTTAGGAAGATAAAAAAGATTATAGAAAATACTAAATTTAAAATTTTCGATTTCAAATATTTCATTAAAATTATTGATGTACTACCAAAATGATGTTTATTGTATTACAGGTTTGTATGAAGTGGACTATCGAATATTTGTAAGTACAAGAGATGGTGAAATTTTTAGTATCAAACGAGATATGAAAACAGTGCTGAATCCAATTATCACTATGACAACTGATATCATCGGTATGATACGTGTTGGCAAACAGGTAAGTAATCAATGATAAAATAAAAAACAATTTGCTGGAAATTTTTTCAGCATTGATCTGGTTGACCATTACAAAAAAAATTATAATCCCTGCGGTAACAATTATTATACTACAATGTTACCCAAATTAGGGAAAACATTAATCATCTATATATGTTAATTCTTAATCGTCTATATATGTTAGTTGTGATATATGTCAGTCCTTGTATGATTAATTATGGTACTATCACTATGTACGACCTGTTACTTGTATTATCTGATTATAATTCTATCATTACGCTCCTTATATTAACTAGTTATTTATTATTGATAATATTATTTCAACTTTTTGTTATAAGATATCAATAATCAATGCTTTTATTTTTATTCATACTATGTAACTTCAAAATTGTTCATTTTCTGTTTCTTAACCTCAATGAAAATTTGAAATGACTGCATACTGTTGCCTAATTAATATGAATTTCAGTTAGTGGTAGCATGTATCGATCAGACGATATCATTTTTTGCTGCGAATGGAAAATGCCAAAATAAAATAAAATTGAACGAAAGCATACGTGGTATCGACACTTTCACCTATGAACCTAAACAATATGTTGCTCTATTGGTTGCTCTGGACAAAGAGGTCATTTATTTCATTTAGTTCTAATTTAAAAGACTTAATTTCGAATTTATACCTGCACTATAATTTAAAATCATTTTAAAACACGAGCAATTCTCAAAGCTGAAATTTAGAAGCGAGGAAAAAAATCAGCATTATTTCTTAATTACTTCATTCGTTGATAATTTGTGGATATTTGATTTGTTTGTTCTGGACAAAGAGGTCATTTATTTCATTTAGTTCTAATTTATTTTCATGTAAAATTTATTCATTTGAAAATATATTTTAGGTGAGAATTTATAATGAAACAGCATTAGTGGATCAACAAAAAATCGATCAATCCATAAATTGGATCAAATATGGACAACTTGGACGTGAAGAAGGCGCATTAATTATTGGAACAACATGTAAGAATGAAATTATTGCAGTAACCAGTGATATCTTGCGTTTTATCTATACCTAGACTTATTTAGATACCTATTTATTTGTTCATTCATTAATTAACTTACTTATATAACTCTTACTTGCATCACTACAAATCTTCAGTTTTTTCTTCTCAAATCAAGTTTTTAAATATAATGCTATAACAAGAAAACTAATTATGATAGGACACTTAAAAATTTAATAGCTTTAATATATATTAATAAAAAACAATAGGGCAAATATTTATGCATTAAAAAACTAATTCCCTTTTTAATGCCAAACTAAAAACTAAACCTATATTATTTCATAAATGCGCTATGCAAATTTTTTGAAGTAATAATTCACTAAAAGTCAATGTTTATGAATTTCCAAATCTTGCTTTTTTTTACAGTAAAAAAATGTTTTTTTAAAGGTGGTGGCTTAATTGTGAAGCTTTTTCGTCGGACAGGAACATTGGAGAAGCAAATTGGAGAAATTGGTGCTGTACAAGCGCAATTTCGGAAATTAAACATACCACGTAGGACGCAAATTTACGTCGACCAAGCAATTCGTGAACGTGAAAATACGCAACTTATGCATCAAGTATTTAGTTGTGTTAATTTTAAACAAATAGAAAGAAAAAGAAAAGAAACCCTTCATAGAATCGATAGAAAGAAAGAATTATAAATCATAAATTTCAACACGATCATCACTAATTTCAATATATCAAATTTATAAATTTCTATCCAAAAAGTTTTCAAAATAATTGATGCGAAATGAAATAAATTTGAAAACAATTTAGATAAATTAAATTTAACTTGGATTAATTACATTTTAAGATGTAATTTATGTATATACAATAATGCCTGCAATACCTTTTATTTGAGATTTCCATTTGATATATTTTACGGTATCGATTATTTATTCCTCATAATGATAGCAAGCAATAATATGATAATAAGTACATTTAAATAAGTGATGAGCAAAATTATAAACAATAAAATATGCTTAACTTATATTAATTTCATTCCAGTATTTGTATTATATTCACCGTTTGGAACAAACAATCGATTCCTATCCACCTTTCCCTTTGACCCCACTTATCTGTCACATCGTTGACTTACTGTTATTAATCCTATCAAACGATCTAATTTTTTAGTAATTTTTTTTGCCGCTAAACTAAAAAAAAGCATTAAAAATGGTTTACATTTTCATTATAATGATAATAATTGATATGATATAGGCTGTATATGATTCCATCTGATAATTACACTCTTTCAGGTTTTTCAACGGGACCTATTTATGTTACGATTGACAGTTACCAAGGCATTCGCAAATTTGACTCAAAATTCACTGAATTCAATTTCGACCAAAAAAAATGAAGCAGTGGAAATATCGGTGGAAATTAATGGTTTTGGGCCAATTTTTCGGATGATTATCAAACTGCAAGCTGCCTCGTATATTTCATTTTTCTGAATATAAATTAAGAAATTCATTTTTGTCTTTCTGTCTTTTCTCTTTGTAAGATAATATCAATTTTAATAGAAAAAAAACATTTTATTTTCTAAGATTATTGTAAGAATAAACAATAACGAATTTTTTAAATTATTCTCATAGCCTTTATTTATTAATGATAAATAACCCAAAAACAGAGATTTTTCAAACTTCAATTTCATTTTAAATTAATGGAATGATTTACTAAGAAAATTGACAGATGCTATTTCAGCCAACAAACTCTTCAACATCTTTATTTACTGTTTCACTACAACCAGGAATTTTACGAATTTGAGAAATCATTGATTCCGGTTCCAGCATTGGTATCTGGAATGACATATATATTTTATATCGTAGTACGTTGTCTAAATCCAGAAAAAGGTATTTCGGATGATGTCCGAATAATTCTTGCTGACCACTGTAATATAATTGTTGCCGCACTGGTTACTATGCCTGTTAGTGAAATGAGCTTATTAGATTGTTAGTTGTTGCATTTTTGCATATCATTGAAATTTTGAAATAAACACATTTTTAATGCTTCATACAGTAATTTTATGATTTCATTTCATTATATATATATATATATATATAAACTCAACAAAATATACTTGGCTTGTACTATTAAAACATGCAAAAAGATTTCGTGATTCCATTTGAATTTCTTCAAAACATATAGTTGACGTCGATTGAGTTCTCTAGTAACAAAAAGCAAAAACGATAAGAAAACGAAAAAAATTTTATCATATGATTCTAGCTTGTTATAACCGCTATTATCGCTATTGTTGCCATTATCAATATAGGCATGTTAATTTTTCCATTTGCCGCCTGGTCATTTTTTGACGAGACGAGCTAAATCGAAAGTTAGGAATTCCTGAAAAATTTAGAATCCGAACTATCATTCCTCAACATCGAAAATTGATTTATTAGTCTGTTAATTCAACGGGAAAGACATACTGTTCAAATTATTGTTTGTGGCATCATTTTATTATTAAACTGTTTTTTAGGCTTCATTAGTTTTAAAAATGGCATTAATTGCACTGCAGCTTGCAAAAGCTACTCACTCATTTTCTTTGCTCATAATAAAGCATAATACCAAAAAAAAATCTTGGTAATTTGAAGTGATAAATCAAACTTTCTTGGAAGGCAGGATTTCTAAAAATTTACTCATGAATTTAGCTTTTAACAAGTGACAGGTTAAATAACAGACATGTCAAAAGCAAATTAACAATAAACTTATTATAGGTCTACTTATACCGAGCACAAATACAGCAAATGTTGAAAAATTAGACAATAATAAGTGAAGAAAGAGAGAAAGAAAATAATCTAAACTCTGACATTTTGTTTAAAATTTTTTTTCTTTGGATATGATGAATGCCGAAAAGCTCCACGCTTTGTTATCGCTTCTCGAGCCTTTATTTCCTGGTATTTTTGGCGTTGCTTGGTCTGCAAATCCGCATCCGCCAGAAGTTCTTCAACAATTGTCCTTTTACGCTGCTTCTTTGGCACACGTGACGAATAGAAATCTGCTTTTGTCTCAACAACAGTACCAACCTAAAGTAAATTTTATCAGCAAACTCGACCTTATGATACACAACATAACAAATATCTCCAAAATTGGGGAGCAGAGGGATCATTTGGGGTTATTTAAAGTATTTATTTTATCTCAACTACACATTAGAAAAGCTGCATAACTAATTTGCGCAATTAATTCGAAAGTCTTTTAAATATGCACATCAAGTTTAACTACTGAACAGAAATGTAATCAAAATGTAATATGCCAGTAATCCATAAGCTAATTTGATTAATCACTGCTAACACGTCAAAAGCAAAAAAACACACAAATCAACTAAAATCTTAAAGAATCAAAAATTAAGCCAGAATAATTAATCTGAACAAAAATTTATCCAAACTCTAAAAACTAACCTCAAAATATTTTGGTAACACGGAGCGATCATTCTTCCTGTAATGAGCTTTCGAATCTAGAGAACCTCTCATCTGAATAATTTCTAGATCACGTTTCCTTTCCTCAGTCATTTCACCTGCTGGGAGGTTATACCAAGCATCACCCTTCGTGCGCTCTCGATCCATCTAAAACATAAAGATCTATTCAAGATTTTAGGCACAACATCGGCAGACAGAGTTTCTAACAACAATAAATGCTAATATTCATAAAAAAAATACCTTTCTTTGTCTCTTTAATAATCGCCAAGACACATGTCCCTCACCGAGATATTTTTCAAAGCCGGGTTTTATTATGCTTTTTGATAGCAACTGAAAGAAATAATTTCATAATACCTCAACTGCTTTTAGAATAAGCGGTTCAGTTTTTCCGGTAATTACTTCTGCACGGTATGTTGTACTATTCCTTGCGTGAATAAAAGTAATTTTACATGATGAAAAACATGCGTTATTGAAAATGCAAGATCAAAACTAGAATTCATAAATGGATGATGACCAAACTGTTTGTAAAATTGAAAATTGAAAGTGAAATTGAAATATGCACTGTGCAATCCGAAAGAAATTTCAAATGGTTTGCATACCTCTTTCGTTGTCTCATCCAAAATTGAATCGGTTACCGATGTTTTATTATTTTCTGTATCGCATCTTGTTGCAAAGAACGGTTTCTTGACAATATTCGTGTTGATATTACTAGTACCATCAGTATCCAGAACAAATAAATCATCTCTTTCAACTTCCTGAAATACAGATCGACACAACTTTCTTGAAAAGACTTATTTTGAATTAAAATATGAAATTTCCGACTTAAAACTTCAAATTAAATTCAATGAGATGTCATAGAAATTTTTGTCATGAAAGCAAACAGCAAATAAAGCAAAACCATGCGTAATATATGCAGAAGATAGGAAATAATTCAATAACATGTATTAAACAATATTCTTTATTCTAAGTTCTCTTTAAAACCAAACCTTATTAAAAAAAGACAACAAATGAAAAAGAGGAAATAATTTCTCTTTTTATCTATTATCTGTAATTAACATGCGCAATCACTAAGAATTTCAGTAAAAAGCCACCTCAGCATCAGAAAAACATCGAAAGTTCACTGTCTCCTTCAATGTCATCTTTTTCTTAACATTATGTTTATCATCATCATCACTCGATGAAGCTCCTTTATCTTCTTGAAACAACACCTTACTAGGACTAGTCCGCATTCTGAAATATAAAGTAAATAAGAGCAAGTGCATTACCAAATACTAGTTTTTAAGTGTTTTAGTTACGAACATTACTCCATATTTTACATTTGCTTGACCAATATTGAATCATATCGATGCATATGGTATTTATTTCAGAAAGCCGTACTTGACATGCTGTTTATACTAAGTTATCGTTCATTCAAATCTTAATTTCCTAGTAAACAACATTCATTTAATATTTGTTAGCTAAATTTCAGATTTGCAAAATGGTGATTTGCATCGTTAAATTCGTTATACAATTCATATCGTTATACACAAAACAAAACTTAGAACTTTCTGAAGAAATCGTCTTTTGAGGAAGTTGCACTGCTCATTCTTTTTTGAATATTGAACAGGTATCTTATTGTGCATGCATTTATTCGGGAATAAAAAATTATTATGAATTGAAACCATCACACTTAATTTGGTGGAAATAAAAGATTGTACATGATAATACATGGAAATAGCATCCAACTGCACGCTTACGTCATATTATTTAACAGATTTAAGAATCATGAAAGCGTTTAAATTTCGCGCATATCTATCTGCATGCTCCACCAGTATTTAAGAGATATTATGATGAGTGACTAAAGTACAAGTGCAATTGCAACTAAGCTTAAAAATGCATTTTTCTGCAAATACATGCATCCGCTACAAATTGCATTTAAAAGAATTGTGTGCAAAATGAAAATGCTTTAAACTGATCCCAAAAATATCAAATAATAACGTACAAAACAATAAAGACAAAACTAGCAGTCAATTTTTACTATCATTACAAAAATTTGGCAGAATTCATATTTAAATTTCAATAATTTTTAGTCGAATCACGGCACAAATACATAACATATTCCATTGGCGATAATATACATTTATATATTAAAGGTAAAGAATGAGCCAAGTAAGGGACAAAAACGCAAAGACGTTCTGCTTCGGTGGATGATAACGTAAAAGCCAAAAAAACTAACAAAACCAAAAGTTGAGGTAAGCAACTTTAAATATCAAAAAGTCAGTTCCTAAATGCAGGATCTGCATGAGCTCAGTAGCATCGTTTCCTTGAACAGCAAATGCGTATACTGCTACGTAAACATCACCTTTCAACACTCCTGTTTAAAATTATATCCAATGCAAAAAAAGATCGGAGAGGCTGTTGTAAGTTCCTGAAATTTAAACACAAAATATGATGCTGGACTTTCAGGTATCGAAAGAGTCAGCTCGAAATAAGATATAAAAACAATTCATTAACAGAAAAGAATACATGGAAGTACATTACAGAAGTATGATTCAAATCAGGTGCAAAATTTATGAAGAGTAACAGAGCAGAAAGCATTAAATATATTACTCTTGCAAAGATTTAAGAAAAAATACACCATAAGAAATTAATTTCTTAGAGAAATAGCAGTTGGAACTTAAGGTAATGATCCACATCCAATAATATCAGCAACATTCCTTGACCAGAACTAAAAATCAGGAAGAGAAAACGAATCCCGTAGTTGCATAGCCCTGAACCATTTTAAAAGGACAACAAATCAAGAAATAACTTAATAAAGATGAGTATGATTAAAATAACACACAAAAAAAACTAATTTATTCTAATCACAACACTGAACTCAAAAATGGATGAGCTTTGCTCCGCAATCGAGTCGCGATCATCTACTTTCAGCAGTGGATGTGTCCTTGGATATGGTCGAGTTATACTACTATGGGCAGTCCAGACATGTAGTTCAGTAAAACCATCTGGATTCGGTTTATAGCGGCCCATATGACGAATATCATACAACGGGTTTGTTGAATAATCCGATGTATTCCCGAAACGATAGCGAAAATTTTCGAAGCGCATCAGGTGACGCTCAAAATCGGCATCCATCAGCGCCTGTAAACTTCGCTCATGCCGTCTCATTTTCGTCACCACTTCCGTCAGCGGTGTTGTGTGTCCTCTGCTCGATGTTGGCAGTAATGCCTACAGAACGATTATTCTCACTGGTATTATCATCTTCTGTGTTATGACTGAATTTACCCCTGTTTTTTAACCTAATCTGGAATGATATTAAATGAAGTAAAGTGCTCAATAAAAGAAGATATACAAAGTCGAATAGTGACAGCGTGAATCAAGTAAACAAAAAAGAACTTAAAAAGATTTAGTAATTATTTTCGTTATAAATCATATCTTATCTATTCATCAAACTTTGAACTTAAATAAGAATGAGTAACAATACCTCTCTTTCTTGTCGCTTTGATACATAATTAACCATTCCTTCCATTGATTCATCAGTAACCTTCGGGCAGAATGAAATATCAAGCGCAGTTAAGAACTAAAAAAATTATTACGAATGTCAAGCATGGAATTGGCAAATGATTATATGGAACCGCGTTTTTTCTCATATTCTTTTCATTAATTAGTAATAAATATACTTCGAAACATGTATAATATAAAATGAAATGCGAAATCACAACTAACCAATGCTAGTCAGGCTATTTCCAACTATATTAATTATTAGTTTAAATATTACGGTCCTTAGTGTATAATGTGAACATCCAAAACTATTTCAAGACCTTTAAAAAGTTATGCAAATCAATTTCATGTAAGTGGAATCTCTCACGAACTTCTAAAACAGCAATAGTACTAAAACTATCCAAACTGAATAAAACTAACCGGACAATGCTTCAACAACATCTTGACCGCTTCATCAGAGATCTCGTCACAGCGATGCAGGAGGACAGTCTACAACAAGGCGAAAGTAAATAATCTTAAACGCACTTTTATTAACTAAAGGAAATACATTTTTTTTTCTATTTGCTTTATCTCTTAATGAGAAAGCAAAATAATCATATATCCTAAGTCTATTTAAAGTAAATAGTCACCAGGACTGCAATTTTGATTGCACAACTATAGTGCACATGCCAAACGTTGGTCTTGTGTTCTACGTGACATTTAGAGAAAGATGAATGACAGCAAGCGATTTGATCTATTAAAGTTTTTTTTTTATCATTTCGATGGCAAGATTGAAATTGTTTGGTAATAAAAATCAACATTCATAGACGATGTACGTTATAATAATGCTGGACGGTAACCTTGTGTATGTCTCCAAAACCAAAAGAATGGTTAATTTAAAGAAAAATACTGGTAACATTGCTGACCTGTAAGGTACCCTTCTCTGCAATTATGCGGATTGTCTGATCATCTACCACTCTCATATATGAGAGATTTAAGTGACTAAGATGTGGCAATTTTGCAAGCTCACGCAGCCCAACACTGCTCACAAAGCGACTGCAACCACTCAAGTCAACATACTTTAATTGCTTGCACCCAATTACTGTATTCCGCAAAACCTGAAGCTCAAGCACGGTAAGAAAGAGAGAGTAAAGAGGCAAGCAACTTGATCTATTAAAGTATTACAAATTTCACGACATTCACAAAACTTTATCTTCGTAGATTACCTATATTTCTCAAAAAAAAAATTTCCCAGGCATAAGTAAACTAAAACTCCAAGTTGTTTGATGAGATTAATGAAAAGGAAACTAATTCATCCCATGGATAGGATTAAAAACTTAAAAGTTGCCTCATCTGTCATCAGCAAGTTGTCATAAACGGTTAGTTCAGTCAAGTTCCTCATCAGACTGAAATTTATTTCAATTCCTCCAAGAGTATGCGAAACATAACATTCACCGAATTTAAGCAATTCCAATCTAAAATTAATGACATTAAAGAGGGCTATTTTGCTTCAAAAAAATGTCTTCAATTTGAGACCACCATAACAAATGCTATAAGAGACAAATCAGTTTGCATTTCATCAAACTCCAACCACAAGTAACACAAATATAAATATTAGTTCAACCGATAAATACTGTGGAGCTATTCCAGAATTGATTAGGGAGAGAATAGGTAAATTATTTGAGCAATCTAAAAATTCAAGATGTCCTTTAAAAGATAATCAGTGCAAACAGTATCATTATTTTTTGTATTTGCCTTATTTCTGAAATTCATTTCAATTTTTCCAAGCATATGCAAAATATTGATTGGGGTTTAAATAGTATATCTAATTTGAACATTTTTTATATCTAATTCAAATAACAAAAAAAATGAAAGAACTTACTTGGTAAGTGAAGCAAAAAAGCTGTTCAAATTAGTAGGCGATATATTATCAACACTATTCATCGTTAGAGCTACTAGGTCCGGACATCTAAACCCGTATGAACTTTTAGCTTCAGTAAATTTCGGAGTTGTTATTCACTTCACACAAGTATTTCAAGAACATAACAAGTAAATATAAAACCCATGAATAAAAAACAACTCATACATAAAACAAACCTATCTCTTATAGCGAATAGTGATGCTGCAGTCAATCGAAAGCATCCACCAATTTTCAAATTAACGATGGATCGTGGCAACACGGTAAATGATGGCAGACCAGTAAGGCGCTCATTCTCACCTACATCGACCTCTTTCAAATTCTGGCACTTAGAAAAAAACGATGTAAGCCCTCGCTCCACAACACTTTCCTGAGAAAAAAGAATAATAGAATTTGCAATTTGCAAGTTACAATCTCAAGCTACATACTTCACTATAAAAACATTGTTATGAGATATATGAAAAAAAAAACTGACAAGAGTAAACTAATTTCCCCGTTTTGAAATAAGTCAAATTGAAAACACAGACTTAAAATAATTTTAATATAGAATGAAAAATTACAAGAATTTCAATAGAGTATAAAACATTAGAAGAAAATCGGCAAATTCACATGATAAAACATATAAAGTGGAATCACTGGATTTCATTTAATATTATTTTCATTTCCCTTCCGCTCTACTTCTGAATAGCATATCTAAATAGGTAAGTACTCAAAACATATTAAGCAAAAAATTCAATTTAGAACTAAACAATTGAAATCTAATATTTAATTTAAGATTTAATATGAATCTTCCTCATAAGCCATCCATCTCATGAATCTCACACACTGAAGTGCTGACAACCATTCAGATTTTTGTATATTTTCTTTTAAAATACTCAATGGACCTGGAAACATCGATGGAAATTCACGATTTCCAGATTTGGACAGTGTCTTCCGAGTGATTTCAAGGACGAATTGGTCAATTGAATACCATACATATTCAGAACAGTCAAATTTGGACAATGTACGGCGAAGCACATGCAAACATTATATGTTAGCGTATCCCTGAATGCATGTAAATCCATCTCAAGCAAATGACCACCGCAGCGCTGCGCCAAGGACTTTATCTAGAATTATTCCTATTAATCTTTAAGCCAAAAGTAAAATCAATTCTCACATTAAATTATCTACGTGTTTGCTTAATGAAAGTTTCATAACTTCGGATATCTTACATTCCAGAAGCATGTCTATAGCTAGCTGGCACGAAATATATTCAGAAAACTAAAAAAATCGTTTTATTTTTCTACATATGACAAGAAAGCCAACTTCCTTGTTGCCAACTACGGGACGTTCAATCAAGCAAGGGAGTGAACACTCCTTATCACCAATAAGTGATGAGTAGGAGAATTCCGTTGTCAATGCCCACGAGTAATTCTTGGCAATGTGACGCCATCGGCGGCAAACCCGTTCTATCCTTATGCGATCCACAATAGGTAACAGCGTGAAAATTGAGATCTGCAGAGAGTGAAAAGAGAAAGAATTTTTTAAAAGATAAAAAAGGGAATAGCTCGAAAATCAATCGCCCAAAACAAATAATCAATGTAAATAATCTGGCAAACTAGTATTAGCAAAACAATATACTCCAAAAATTCGGGAGTTACCAAAAAATATTGGTCATTAATCGATTCCGCTTAATCTTTCTTGATTGTTAGGCAATAATCCTAACCAAGAAACTTGGCAGAATCGGAAGAGAACACCAACCAGAATATGGTCTGGAATGGAATTGATATCCTCCTGAACATTGTCCTCTTGCATCTTGTCAGTTTTTCCCTTACTCGATTTATTGCTTTTACGCTTTCCCAACTGTGTATTGTTATCGTTGTTGACAAGAGAGTGCAATGATTGTTGCTGTTGCTGATGATGATGAGTTGCCGAGCTACATCCGGAAGTTGTCGGTGCATTCAAATCCTCAATATCAACTCTTAGATCTTCAACCATTTATTGAATATATTAAATTGCCATTCTGCTGAAGCTAACCACTTAAAACTGACTAATGCCTATAGTTTGACTACGGAGTAAAAATTTGAGTTCAACAAAAATTTAATAGTAAATATTGTCTGCTTGATTTATCATAAACAAAGCATCACTATTCCAGAATTGTGAACGCACTGGAAATAGATGACATTTCAAAACAGCTTACAGACAAAATATTCCAGAAGCATATTTATGAAGCTTAATAAAGAAATTAATTAAAGGAAATTTACAGAGGATTAATCTCCTACCTGTATCTTTCTTTTTGCCGACTTTTCATCTCGGTTGGCAGGTGCCATCCTTTTTGTTCTTCTCCCTTCAGCTCTCAGTGGTTGCACAGCACTGAGGGGGAACTGCTCCGAGACAGCATCCTGCTCCTCAGTATTTCGATTACTTCGAAGTCTCATTATTTTAGTTCGAATATTATATCACTGCTATAAATGAAATGATCATACTTTGATTCAGCTTAACCTTAATTCAGTTTCTATGAAACTATGTCTCTGAGAAAGCAATAAACAACAACAGTAATACTAATTGATGAATTAAGCACAAAATAGAAATTTCCTTCAGGAGGAAGAGGACGGAATATGAGTTAAAATGATATTTCCAAATTAACCGTTCTCACATCAGAATGCAAATTTATCATAAGTGCCAAAAGAAATAAACAAAATAAAAGAATTGATTCGAAAAATAAATTCTAGCCTGGAAAAATGATATGAAGCTAATTTATTCTGCCAAAATTTTTGAGAAAAAGTTATCGATCGAGTAAGTCAAACAATTCTAACTGCGGGATGGATGCAGAAAATACCAAAATATTTTCCAGTGGTCAACGAAATGAATTTTTCGAACCAAATTCAAGATTGCAGATTATTCGCCAGATTTAATGGTAGGAGAAAATCTCATTTAAAGTAAATTCATGAAGAAACATATAATAATAATTCGGATTCTGAAATCTGAACTGAAGAAAGTCGAGAAGTTTCTAAATCAAGACAAAAATTTAAATTCACAAGAAATTTCATTTAATAGATGAAACTTGAAAATCTATAAGAAAGAAGCGATGAAATGAAACAAGTGGACAAATCTATGGCTTAGTCCAGCAATTAACTTCTGAGGCTGCTTAAATCATTGGCATTTACGAAAAAGTCAACTGAGACTTAAACTACAGGTATTTCTTCAGAGCAACACGTCATACCAAACTCCCATTCTCACGTTTCACTCACGCAAGTAACCACCCACCATCTCATAATGTAATACTAATATCTTGCCCTCCACATTATTAACCTGTTCATCGATTTCATCGAGACACAATGAAAATATTTCATCCCTGCAACTAGTAGATCTGTTGTGCGCATCACACTTGCGCAGTTGACCAAGCAGTTCATCTGCTCTGTAGTGCCATCTCCAATGACTGTCATCTAGTCATCTCTTTCTCTCTCTCTTTAAGTATATCAAGCGTATCAGATGAAATCATCAGAATTAGCGTATCAGATGAAACCATCAGAAATTATATATTTAACCGATTGTTTGTGAATAATTACATCTGTCCGAAAATTTGCTACGAATATTGGAAAAGGTGGTAACAGTTTGAATCGAAGAGAAGTTGACGTTTTGTTACCAATCATACGGTTATATTCCATGTTTGGACCAAGAAAGAGGTTATTTTCAAAAATTTTTTCAGAAGATTTTGAAAATAAAATAGAAAGAAGGAAAGTATGGAAGTAGAATATTATTAAATAATATGTAAAAGAGGATAAAAAAAATTAAGGAGTAAGAAACTAAAAAGTTATGGGAAAAGTAAAAAAGAATCTGAGGAATTGAATCAGTAAACATCGCTTTTCCGTTTTTTGTATCATTTTCCGAAAACGTTTTCGAAGCCAGAGATCCGGTGAGCAGACGTTGTATTTCAAAGATGATGTTTCTTTCGAAAATTTGAATATTTTTAATAGGTCTGAATAACAAATTTCAGTCCTCTATGATTTAGAAACCTATTGTAAATATTCAAAAAACCCACTTTGAAATTCACATGAATATTAAACATAACTTATAAATTGAAAGTGTATTCTTCTCTACTTTATGTGTAAATTCAGAAGAACTAAAGTGGTAAACTTCTTGATGTGATTCCGTCACATCACATGATTTATTGATCGGCAAATATCATTTCAGACTTCTTTTCAAGCAAGGACAGAACTTTCGAAGCGAGAGGTATTTTGCAAGATTTATGCTTCGCCAAGTTTTAAAATTGCGATATTGGGTTGCAGCTGGCGTTTTCAGTGGTTCCGTTGCAGCTAGTAACGTAAGTGAAAGTTGTTTACTGCATCGCATGATTATGTAAATTAAGAAAAGCTAGCGGTAAAATATGAGCAGCATTGTGCAGTATTAGATTTCCTTCGAATATCAAATTTTAGCGATATGAGGAATGGAGGAAAAGTTTGCCGGAGCTTTCTTTACCGGAATGGATCAAAATGGATGAGAAGCGGGTGAATGAATACAAGGACTTCTATAATGAAGCGAAATCGAAATGGCTGGTCAAGGAGCAAATGTGGATGAAGAATTTACGAACGAAAATGTCTGGTTTACAAAATATGTGGAAATTAGAGCCTACTGAAGGTCGGACTTTGTTGTGCTATTCGGGCAAGTTTTACTGTGGAATAACTGTACTTTCTCCCTCTTTTGCTGTTTTTTTTGGCGAATATGCATTTTCCGGAAAAGATTGAGTAGTGCATTAACTCTTATGTTACATTATAAGTTTAACTTTGTAGCTGCAGTGGTTCATCAGCTCTTTAGTAGGATTATAGTTGCTTTTGCCCTGGTTTGGATTCAAAAGGGAAATAATAATGATTTCCAACGTCGGACTTGATCTTTTTATGAAGTAGTTATAAAAATTATTGCTATTGCTTTTATTGACTGGTTTTCAGACAATTCTTCAGATGAAATTCAAGATCCGGAGCCACAAGACGGTCATTTCTTTTCTGGATTAGACTTCATAGCTCAAAATGGTGAATGCATCTATTTGATTTCTTCTCCATCTTTTGAAACGCTAAATATCTCCATAGCACTTGCTTACTTGCTTCACTTTTCACTTTTGCTTTTTCTCTGAATTTAATTTCCTTTCATATTGCTTTAATTGGTATGACTTGTTAAGCTTTTTTGAATGTATGAATTTCATATAATGTTTTGTAATTTTAGAGGTTAAACAGCATTTTGCAAAAGATGATGGTAAGTTCGTCTATTAATTGGCTTTTTAATTCCTGTTCTAACCTAGTCCTCTAATTATTTTAATAATAGTGTTCCTATGTTTTGATGGATTTTTTACTTTGATAGCTTTTGGAATTTCATTTTGCAATTTTTCTTCAAAATTTCAGCTCCCAAAACACTGTTTTCATCTTTGTCGGGTGTGTTCAAAAGAAAGAAAGACGTATCCGAACATGAAGAAAGTGAATACGCAAAGGTATCTTTGGAGATGCATCTCTGTTCATTTGAAGCAAACTTAAATTGGGCAGATGTTATGAACGAAAGCTTTTAAGAGGAACTGTTGCATCATCACTTTAAATTTGCAGATGAATGAAACCGAGAGAATTCAAAAGCTGCAAGAGGACATGCTAAAAACTCAGGTTCCATTGATTTTTTCTTTTTTTTGCAATCCACCGACAGTATTCTTCTATGCATTTGTAGCAAGTACTTAATCGCCAGTTGCTAGACAACTGACTAAGATATTTTTGCTTTTGGAAGCGATATATGGTTTTTTTTTCCAGAGTCAATATCAACGAGAGCTCGAAAGATTGGAGAAAGAAAATAAAAATTTGAGGCAGAGGCTATTGCTGAAAGATCAAGGTGCCTCACGAAGACTAAAGAAAATAAAGGTTTACTTTTGTTCAATTCTTTCGTGATCGAATGAATTTTGCCACAAATTATTCGGAAGTCTTCAAAAGTTTTTTAAATCTTTGGGTCTAGCTTGTCAGTACATCCGAAATTTTTTCTCAAAATTCTCATTTTTTTCCATATCCGATGATGTTAATATAAATTTATGACAGAGATCTTTGATCGATTTATATTCGGAAGCGCTCGATCTCCTCACTGAATATGATTCATCGTACAATACAGCCGATAATTTACCACGTGTGGTCGTCGTTGGGGATCAAAGTGCCGGTGACTTGTTTCTGAAAAATTAAAAAAAATAATCTATTGAAAGAAAAATAATTATGGAACGGTATTAGTATTTAATTAATCACCGTTAGGACAACTTAATCTGAGAATTTCAGGCAAAACATCTGTCTTAGAAATGATAGCTCAGGCTCGAATATTTCCTCGTGGATCAGGCGAAATGATGACGAGAGCTCCAGTGAAGGTAATTGAAATAATTTTTAAAGATTTTGGGAGAGTCGAAGTACATACTATATCATTTAATGCCTTGATAATAATTGGTTCATTATTTTTTAAACTTCATTATTAACAATTTGAAGCATTATTTAGGTAACCTTAAGTGAAGGACCATATCATACTGCTTGCTTCAAAGACAGCACCCGCGAGTTTGACCTTACAAAAGAATCGGAGCTGAAACAGCTGAGAAATGAAATCGAAATAAGAATGAGAAATTCAGTTGCCAGCGGTAAAACGGTATCCAGTGAAGTAATTGCTCTGACAGTTAAAGGTAGCCTTGTGTTTTTATAAAGTTTTTCATCAAAGCTGTTAATAATCTGCGAAACCATAAAATGCTTTAGAATTTACTTAAGTATTATATCCTGATTTTGAAGTTTCAATGAATTAAATGAATTCTATAATTTTGCTGTGGCTACCCTAATGTGTATCTTATCTACGCTTCGACTATAATAGAATTCAGTATACCACAAGTTATCCAAATTGCGAATTGTCGACTATATTCTGTGATTCAAACTGCATTTCTTTCCATTAAATGTTAATCGATACCTTCTATTATAAAGCCGTTCGATTAAATCTTTGTTCAGGTCCATCTCTTCCACGAATGGTTTTGATTGACTTGCCAGGCGTTATATCTACGGTGACGGTTGATATGGCTAAAGAAACGAAGGATGATATTGTAAAAATGTGTAGAACATATATGGAAAATCCAAATGCTATTATCCTATGCATACAGGGTATGTCCTGTTGAGTTCAATGAGACTTTTATAATTGAATTTCCTAGAGTTCATTTTGAAAACAGTTTAAAAGCGTAGTAGAGTAAGCGAAGTGCAATTTTTAGGTGATATTTTTTAACGATTTCTTTCCATATGATCACATTTTGATATCTATCTTGTGCTGAATTGTGTAATCTTTATATTTCTCTGATCCGTGCTGACCTATTTTTACAACCATGAAATGAGTTTCAGTTGCTAAAAATAGAAGTTTTAGATGGTTCCGTTGATGCTGAACGTAGCAATGTAACAGATCTTGTGAGTGCTATTGATCCTATCGGTGAAAGAACTATTCTGGTATTAACTAAGGTCAGTAACATCTAATTTTTCAGTCAAATTAAAATTGAAATGCATAATGTTTGTTATTCAACAAACATCTGTGAAAAAATTTTGTTGATAGGTTGATTTGGCGGAAAAGAATTTTGCAAATCCTGATCGAATAAAGAAAATTCTGGAAGGAAAGTTGTTTCCCATGAAAGCTCTAGGCTACTATGCCGTTGTCACAGGTAAAGGTTCGAGCACTGAAAGCATTGAATCCATTGTAAAATATGAAGACGAATTCTTCGCGAGATCTAAACTTTTCAAGTAAGTGTTTTACGATTCATTCAATAGACCAAACGTCAAAACTTCGCAGCTATCCATATTTTCAATTTTTTGCAAATGAATCAAGTCCGAATTAGCGATTGAAAGATTGTCAAAACCATTGTTGTCTTTTCATTTAATAATTATAAGTTACTTACGGTCATTCTTTTTTCTGACTTTAGCTGCATAATTCCATATACATGAAAACTTGAATCAAATTTTATTTAGAGATGGTGTCCTAAAGCATTCACAGGTAACAACCAGAAACATGTCTTTGGCTGTATCGGATTGCTTCTGGAGAATGGTCAAGGATTCAATTGAATCACAGGCAAAAAATTTTTGTTCCTTTTACCACTGTTATCACAATCATCCCATATAGAAGAAGTCACCATTTTATCATTTCCTTTGAAAGAGCAAGTCCTTCAAGATTTATTTTGTCGCAAAACTTAAGTAAACAAGTAATTGACTAATAATTTCTGCAGTTTTTCAGCATTTATTACTATGAAAATTTGTAGGCTGATGCATTTCGTGCAGCACGTTTTAATCTTGAAACTGAGTGGAAGAATAAATTTCCGCGAATACGTGAATTGGATCGTGATGAGCTATTCGATAAAGCGAGGGGTGAAATACTAGATGAAATAGTCGATTTATCACTTGTACCAGCAGAACAATGGGAAAAGTTTTTGAGAAAGAAACTATGGGATGCAGTGAGCGTTTATTTTATATTTTATAACTCAATGTTTTGAAAAATTTTTTAAGAAAGGAATGAGATTTTGCTTTTGAAGAATAACGCTCATCTACTGATAACTTCGGTTCCTTGTTTTTGTCATATTCAGCAAAAGATGTGTTTCGATGTAATTTCATACGTATTTTGTCCATTTAAAAAAAGATGAATGCAGAGTACATATAAGTTGTTCATTTCTATTGGTACACTATGAGTTACTGTTACATTTAAATTTTTAAAATTATTTCATTTAAAAATTATTTCAATTGTAGATTTTTTAGGTAGAAACTCATATCTTCGATCAAATTTTAATGCCTGCTTGCTCCGTCGATAGCGCTGGTACTTTTAATACATTGGTAGATATCAAGATGAGGCACTGGGCTGATAAAGATTTGGCTAGCAAATCAATACAGGTGAATTCTGCTTATTATTTAGCCGTAATATTCGATAGTAGTAATGCCCTATGTCATACGAAATCTTAATAATTTTCAAGACTCTTTTAAATCTTTTAAATTTCCATTATTTGAAATCAAATTGAAATTAAGGATTTCATGGGAATATTTTTAGACGGGATGGGAAATTCTTTCGGAGCTGTTCAGAAAGCAAATGGATGATACAAAACATCGCAAAGATGAAGATAATGAAGTATTTGATCGGTTAAAACGTGCCGTCTTGGAAGCTGCGCTAAATGAGCACCAGTGGGATGGCAAAGCTATGGATTACTTGGTAATCATCAGTTTTCATCTTTCATATTTATTTACATTCCACAATTTTATATTAATCTAGTATTTTTCAGCTTTAACTATGGCAACTTTTTTTTATCGACTGTAAATCATTTAGTTCTGCTATCAACATTTTGAGACAATCTTTGAGAGGTTGAAAAGAAATTTTAACCGAAATTACTTAGGTATTCGAAATTCGAGATTCAGATGTCTTTTCTTTCAGAGAGTTATTCAACTGAACGCAATGGAGGATCGCATTGTACCCGACCGTCGCTCATGGGACAACGCCATCGAATTTATGACGTCAGCCATACAAAATTATTTAGCTGAGGTTTGTTTTAGTCTCATATATTTTAGATTGGACGCCTAATCAGGAGTACAAATATCTAATACACCTCTGGGGAAGACTATGTATCCGTAAATTTTCAGACTCGCAAATTGATAGATGAATGGCGTGGTCCTTCATTTTGGACACGTTGGATTTACTGGAAAACACCGACTGCTGAAAACAATTTGGCTGGTGCTGTTCAGGAGGAATTGAGGAACATATTAATACAAAATCCTGTAAGTACAAAATAAAAAAGATGTGAAATAAATAAAAAGCATTAAATAAAAGCAACAAAAGATTTGATGTTCCAAAATTTGCATTGATGCTTTCTTTTTCGCTCTAGGATCATCCTCAGTCATTGTTGGACGATGATTTGACTATTGTAAGAAGAAATCTAGAAGCAAAAGGTTTGAAGGAATTGAACAACGAATTGGTTCGAAAACAGTGGAAATTGATATATCGAGAACATTTTTTGGAACGGCAATATCAGGTATCTTAATTTCATATTTGTTTCTTCTTTCATAAGATGAAATGTCCACTCAGTTTCTTAGAGGAGAATGCATTCATTTTATGACTTTGCGTGTGATAAAGCTTTCATTTGTTCATTTACAGACAGCTGTGGAATGTCAAGGCTTCTACCCACACTACAAACTCGGTTTCGATGATACAGAGGTGGATTGTCAGGCAGTGGTACTCTTTTACAGAATTCAAAAGATGATCGATTTAACGTGTAGTGCATTACGACAACAAATCATAAATACGGAACAAAGAAGGCTAGAGAAAGAAATTAAGGTGAAAATTTTGATACATGAAGTGCAGAATTTGTTATTTACTGTTTAGAAGTGTCGGAAATAGACCTAAACCTCTGAAAAGATGTCCGTCTTTTTTAAATCACTATGGCTTTTAATACTTTGTTCAGAAAAATCAAAGAAAATGTTTTGATAAGGTGGATGACCCTCGTAATTAGGATTTTCTGTTCATTGTGTATTCGATTTGATAAAAGATAGACAGTATTCAGCATTGATTCGCTTTATGATTTATAGTATCAGGCATTTTCTGGTGTGAAATTGTTAAATCAAAGATTAAATTTCTTTGTTTTCTAGGATGTTTTGGATGAATGGGCTCATGATATAAACAAGAAGAAAGAATATTTAACTGGTAGACGTGTTGAGTTAGCTGAAGAACTAAGTAAGAGTTTTTTTATAACTTTCAGGTTTTGAAAATTCAAATCCTAATATGTCAGATTCATCTCAGATAGATTAAAGTTAAAACAATATATACAGTTCAGTAAATATTTAATGTATTATTGAATCGCCCTTTGTTTTATATGTGTTACTTATTGGAATTCATTTGTAATGTTAACTTCTTTTATTTCAGAGCAGGTTCGCCATATCCAAGAAAGGCTGGAAGAGTTCATGGTACAATTGCAGCAGGAGAAATCCTCTTAAGGATTGTGTTCTTACATACTGCTTATGTAAAATAAATTTGATGGCTTGGTTTGTATCATATTTTTTTTTTGATGTTTTATACCTCTTTTTTAGATTGTCTGCAAGCATACAGTTGTAATATGAGTGTTTGTCAATATGATAATTGTACACCTTTTACAGTGAATGATTTTGATGAAGTTACTTTCTTAGATGTTAAATTTTAATTTCAATTTTCCATTCATTGGAAGATAACTTTAAAAAATCAAAAAGGATGTGAATTTTAATTGTTTTGGAGAATTCTTTCTTTTTTTTGCAAATTAATTTTCTACTGATTCGAAAATATTTCTAATACATTATCCAAGACAAAAATAATTTTAACATTTCTGACTGTAGAGTTCTACATGATTGTGCGCAAAAAAGTTAACCTTCCTTTGAATGTACTTTCCTTATAGAGCTTCCGCCTTCAATTTGTTTTTATACACGCCTTTGCAACAATCATAATACATATAGTACCGGTGAAATGCCCGAAAGAGTGAGATTTAGTTATTAATATTCTCAGATATCTTTTAGCAGATATTAGGCTATCTGAAGACAAATTTGGCTCCGACTGTCAGTGTTGATAGAATGTTAGGAACTGAAACACAGCAAAAAGGAACTGGAAAAATGATGATCCATTATGAACGGATTCGTTTTGTTGATAAAATGAGAAGTAAACGAATGCAATGAAGAAAAAAAGATTAACAGCTATCAATTCTTTTTAATTCTAAAATTTCACTAAATTCGAATTAATAAAGAAGGACTAGAGTTTCTGTAACGATCAGCAAAGAGATTTGCTACAAAAATAGTAGTGGTCCAAAGTGCTCAGTGAGGGAAGCCTTATTTACTTTATTTGTTAATATTTAATTTTGAGCAGATTTTGGATTATTTTGCAGTATGAAAGGTAGTGTTTCGCAATTGCTGCTGTAGAAAATTCAATTGTTTCTTAATAATGATGCTTACTCTTATTAATTATCAAAAAACAATTTTAATGTCGAACTTATTTCGTTTCAACTACTGTTTAAAAAAAAACATGGAAATGGCTATTGCATGATTTCGGAACGATATTGTGGAATCATCAAAAACTACGATATGAAAAAAGTCAATTTCTGATCAGAAATTTTTAAACTCTAAGTGATTGCTTCCTTTTTTTTGGGAATCATAGCAAAAAATAGCTTCGAATTATATATTTACTATTCCTCTAAGCCTAATTTCATGCTTATGTAGCGTTGAAGAAAAATTAAAATTTAAAAATCAGATAAACAGCATCCATTATCGAAAGTAAGTTTCTGATGTTCCACAGGTAAATTTATTCCATTCTTTGATTCTAATAATTATTCCAATAAGTTGAAAGGTTCAATTTTTGCATATCTCTTAGTCAATTTTTCTTTTAATCGATTATTTTTAGATCACAAAGCTCACAATATGATTGTTATAATTGACCATAAAGGTACAAAACACAACAGCTATTTCTCTACATTAATAGAATGAACCATTTCAGTATTGCTTTCTCAATTTCATTAATTTAATTTCTACATTACTTCTTAAACTTTGATCTGTTTTCAATAAAATTCCTTCCTAACAGATGGACATCATTTGGCTTTTATTGTCCATCGCTAACGTTATACATTTGTCAAAACTTGGTGATCCAATATTCGAAAAAGGCTTTAAACAAAAGGATAGTGCAGCAAAGATAACGGTGTAATCACTTTTAATGTAATACCACCAGTCTGCGTCTTAAGTCTTATGTGCTGCATAAATAAATCCCAAGATTTAAACATTCAATGATCTCCGATCTGGTGTTTTGAGTCAAAGCATTCATTCCTTCAAATACATTTTTTTCCATTCAAAACATTAATCGAATCACGTTGTAGTAGGTACAGTGACACGTAACTTCGGAAAGGCGGAAAAAAAATGAGACCGATGTATACGTTGCACTCTGAGGATATAACTCATATGTCTAGTTAAGCGCAAAAATTATAAAGCTTGAGGTTAGCTTCACACTTACGCTTCACACTTCTAATGACTTACGAAAGCTATCCCAGTACCATCATTCTCACGTCCAACACCTAGAAAGGAATCGATCAAGCCAGAAAGGGTTCCAAGTCATTAGAATTCCTGATCTAAGTGGAATTTTTTAACAGTCAGAGTCTTAATTTTAATAATTCATTTAATGAATTTCTCATGATGATATAAAATAAAAATAAATATAATTTATTCATCTACTGTACACATGGCACTGATAAGTAATAGCTAAAAAAGTGACACCGGTAAGAAAAAATTATAAGAAAAATAAAATTAAAAATGAAAACATAAAACGTAATATGCATTTAGAAAGTGTTTTTTGAACTTCTATGCATGTAGCATACAAATTACTGACATTTGAATAAAATCTGTCATTTTCAAAGTCTATTCATTTTTTCTTTAAAATCCCCTGTACAGCTGAAATATTTTAAAATCCCAAACAAAAGGAATTTCATTTATAGCAAGTTCTATCACATCTACAATATCTTCAGTAGTTGCGATAAATAAATATATGACAAAAACCACTCAGAAAGAATATAAGTTTCATGTTATCTCAAAAATGAAGTTTGCATTTCCATGAGAAACATCTTTTAATACAAAGTTAAAATAATTCGAACCAATAAGAACAAATCAATGGTTCAAAATCTTGTACTTCAATTTTGATACTTCGTTATTGTAACCAATATGATTTATCAATAAACAATAAACTTCTTACTCATCAAAATCAATGAAAAGTGGATTCAAATTTCAAAACAAATCCGCTAATTATGATTCATATATGAGTTATTTATTCCTGTTTATTACTAGTAACATATCCATCATGTTTTGTAGTATGCCGTCGTTCTTCTATTGCATTCGATTTATGTCTTGGATAAATATACCAGAAATTGTAGCCAATTAATATACAAAGGATGTTGACAACTATTAACCACAACATATTAGTGCTTATAAATCTGAAAGAAAGACAAACTGAAAAAATAACAGAATGTTTTTTATCAACAGTTCTATCTTTTGCAGAAACGAATTTCCGTAGAAATAGATCACCAAGAGAGAAAGCCGGGAATATGCCACCTTCACCCTGACAAGAAAATTATTCATTACTACCATCAAATACAAATCGGCATTCTTTTTCTCGGATTCCCAGACGATGCAGCAGATGATTTGCTAAAGATATAAAATATTCTTCATCTCTCTCGCCTTCTCCCTAACTCATTCAGAAATGAATCGCACCTCCATGCTAAATATAGTCCATTTTACAACGTGATCTTGAATGGAAGCAATAGGAAAGTCAAAATACAAACAACATATTCAAACAGTTCATAAGTTGAAGTCTTTTAAATATCAGTTAAGAAATTAAAATGAAAAATATAAAAGAACTTGCCAATTGAACTTCCTCAACTGCTGGCTCAAATATTAAAAAATGAAAGTGGAATGCATTCGCCACACAGATAGTTAACTATATTTTATAATGTACCAGAAGCTCATCATAACTTCTATTTAATACTTTTGAAAATGACAGCGTGCTGAAATGGAATTAATAGAGAAATTCATACCATATTTTATAGTGAATGACGGAGCAAAATTTTTTATAGTAAGTTCTAACATGAAAATATTACTTTCTTGCTTCCGCAATGTAATAATAGGTTTTTTAATTCTAGAAAACTCACTATTGTATGGGGAATGTGATACGACTCAAATAAGAGAAATGATAAGTGGGATGTTCTATGCTGCCTAATTAATGATCATTCTCAATGTAGCAATCAGTTCCATCGAGTAAACAATTTTCTCAACGCAGACAAACTCGCATAGTTTATTCAATTAATCCTGATCCTTATCAACCGACAGAAGATAAAACTTTACAGGTTATTTGGCACAGTCCCCCATTCTCACACCGAAAACAAAAGCTTCAAACAACCCCCATAGACAAGCAAGCTGACATTAAGGAGTTTTACCCACAATATCACATTTTATCTTTGAGACAGATATCTGTCACGAATATAAATAGTATAGTTTTATGGAGAGGTACGACTGACAGAGTGTTGTGATTAGGAAGTTAGAGCAGAGAAACTCGAAAATTTGAATTTAATTTACCGAAAGGAATTGAAAGATGAATTAAATTATTTTCTGAAAATTTCAATGAGAAGAAAAGTATTTTTGGATTGCATTATCAGCTTATTAAATGCAAGAAATGATTTTAAATGTTTAAATATATTTCATAGCTTTTATAGATTTTAATTTTCTTAATTCATCAATATGAATAGAGCAAAATTTTAAGAGTTTTTTGATAAGCAAACAGAGACATACGTATATACTGATAACGTTTTCACCACAATATTGATAACCATAAGAAGGTTAATTCGTTTTAAAGTACAAGTGTTGGACAAAATAAAAATTTGTTGCTATACAGGTAAATAGATGGGCAGACAATAGTAATGATGATAATAATAATAACAATAATAATAATAACTGTAATAATAATAATAACAATGATAAACATAAATAACAATAATGATGACATTAATAACAACAATAGTAATATAATGAGTAACCTGTTTGTTTCAATTCTTATCGATTTCAGTGATTGATTCCAAGTCTAAGGAATATTTTGAAGCTTTGACTTTCATATCGCACTAATCTCTTTAGATGTGTTTAAAATTTATAGAATCAATTGCAACAGATAGGGGAACATTTTGAGGGTGCTATAGTTGATATGAAACATCTAACTCTGATTATATTGTGATATTTCTTATTTCTATGATCAGTAATATGTTATTGATTCATCGATAATTTCAGTATACAATTTCACACATTTGTTCAATTTAGATGAGTGAATTGAGAAAATTGCAAAATTTGTTGGATAAGTCAATTTAATCGATTGCTAAGAAAGCGATAAAAATAGAATAAATATAATAAACAAACAAAATGGAATGAATTATCAATGTGTATTCATTGATAAAAAC